AGGTGTAACAGAGGTGGGCATGGGGAGCACACAGAGGCTGAGGTAGTGAGGTGTGACAGAGGACAGTGCAGGGGGTCAGAGTTTAGACTTTCAGCTCTGCTCTGAGAGGTTCACACAGGGACAGTTTGGTTCTGTCACATCCAGAGATGATGAGGGCACATGTGAGCTCAGAGCACTTTACTATAGGAGGTGCACGTAACACTATAGTCCCTTCACATGAAATTGCATTAGAAATAGCCATTACACCAGAGACCCTTAGTTTCAGAAACCTGTTTGCATAAACAGTAATCAGTTGTGGAGCCTGGAAATCCTAATTAAAAAAAATCTCTCCCATGTCCTAGTTATGGTCTCTTATTAGCTTATAGCCAATGACATGGTCCTAGCATCATGATGGAAATCTAAATGTTCCAGCTGCAGAACAAGCTGAGAAATCCTCCAGTTGAGAGAACAGCACATATAAGCACATGATGATTTTGGTTTGTTTTGTTTTGTTCTGGTGCTTCACCTTTTGAGTTCCATCCAATCCTTAATGCTGTATTGTGATTGGTCTGAACTACTGGTTAACCGGGCAATCGCAACAGCTATTGCTAGGCCAGATGGATAAGAGTTTGTGAACTCACACAAATATCATGAGAATTTATCTTGCTGGCCAGGTAGCTGTTTACAAGAAGTGTATTTTTTCGGAAATTGCTTTTCAAGACAACATTGTGGTGTGCTTTATATGCAGTCATGGACTCCCTGATGAAGATTGCTTTTGATAGCAGCCATTTTGTGCCTTAAGCCTACACCAATCAAACAATCAGACCACATTAATCCAGTGCCATAAACAATGCATGAACAGTGTGTCTGATGTCTTTGGCTAAGCTGGGATGCTTCTGTTCAGTTGCAGTTGATATATAGTGTCAATATTTTCTTTTTCAATCCAGCCATCTGCTGTAATGTAGCTTTAGAGCACAGGGCAGGGCTTTATTTAGGCACTTGTTTGGTGCACCAATAACAATTAGGGTGCTGTTTTATTATCATTTCAATTGTACTAAAGGTGATGGTTGCAGTACAAAAGTGAAGAATGCTATCTTTTAAAAGAAACTGATGTCAGTAGAAAGATCAATAATGTTTTTAAATATTTTATTTATGTAATGATTTAGATGTTCTCATTATCTTATAAACAAACTCAATAAACTGAAAATAATAATGCAATATCAATTGCACACAACAGAAAAACAAAGAAAAGCTCATTGTGAATTGCAAACAAGTCTAAACAGACCATTAGCATAAGGTTCAAAAGCAAACAGGCACTTGGTGGATGAGACACAAGAGCCTCTCCCTCTCAGTCATTTACACACACCTTTGTCTCTGGCACTGTCTCATCCAAATCATCCACATTTCTGATTTTGTTTGTCCACATGACTTAAACACATGGTCCACACATATGCTAAGTCTTTATTTGAATAATAATATGAAGATAGTTGCAGGCAGAACTCTAGATTTTGATAAGCCTTTTTATTATGTCTTTTTGGCAAAGGAGTACACTGGTGCACTTGTGTAAAAGGTGCAGTATGAAACCTTGTCACCTGCTTGTTTTTTGTTTTGTTATGTTCTGTACTGCATTAAACATATCTGTATCATATGTTTTCAATCACAGGTGTTTTTATTGCTAAAGAATACCTTGGGAAAAATGCTTTCTTACTGTGAGTGGGCTTGCCTCTCCCCTGACCTGAGCAGTACTTGTGTCTGTGTGAAGGAAAAGCAATAACATCCAACAAGCAGGTGACAGACCCCAACAGAAAAGTGACATAGTGCTCCTTTAACGTAAATGCTGATTTGCTGCGGTCTGTCTGTTCAGTCTTTACAACAAGCTCACACCAAAATCATCAGTATTCTCATCTTGTCACAACATAAGGCCATGGACTGTTAAATATTCATAGCCTATTGCTCTTGCTCTACATCACTCCCTGGTATTTTCATAAGAACAGCTCATTTCACATCTCGTGCCCCACAGCGCTCCCACAGTCAACACAGGTTAGCCCGTCTGTTTGGTCAGCTTAGTTTGGCTTTGTGGAGTGCACGGATCTCCAAGCGTGCCTTATCCCGGCGGACAGAGGGTTGTGCCTTAAACACACAGTAGAGAGGGTCAGTCTGGGTGGGATGTGAAGGAAAAGCACAAGACATGATAGGTTCAAGTAAATTGAAGTGGGACCAATGCAGGAGATAACACACTGCATCGTGAATACAAATAAAGGGAAATAATGGAGTTAGAAGTTCAAATTTCCTCAGTATCATTCACCTATCTACAGTACACACGCATTGATACATATAGTACGCCATCGACAATCTGGCATTTGAAATTTTCCACATTGTTTTTTACTATTGGGCTCTCTTGCAATCACAGGCCTGATAAGCAAAGTTTTATTCATGGATTCCTGAAGGGTTAGCAGACATCTTATCACTGCACTGACGTAAGGCTATCCGACTGCCCAGTAAAGACACTCATATGAACAGCATGCAATAATAAGCAAGGCGCCTAAACCCAGGGACTTTTAGTTTTTATTTTCTTTTTATCCCCATACTTACCCAGACCAGTGCAACTAAGAACATTTTATTTTTCAGTGATGTTTAAGAACTATTAATATATAATCAAATCACTTTATATTGAAGGAGAATAGGGATGCCACAAGCGCTTGTGAAATAAAATTGCTACAGTATTATGAGACATAAGGAAAGTAATCTTTTTTTCCCCCCGAGTTTCTTTTGGTCTTGAACAAAAAAGAGGTTACTGCTGGTGAGTTATTGTATATCTCTTGAGAAGTCTTAGCTCAAATAAGCAGTGTTACAATGACAGTGAATACAATTATGTCTCTTGTCTCACCTCGTGGAAGTGTTGTCTCGCCCATCCTTAGAGGTTAGATTTCCGGCATCAGTTACATTCTGAAATACTCTCACTACTTTCTCTTATTTCAAGGTTTATGTGTTTTAGGGGAAAGAACAAAAACTTGAGGGAGGCTGAGGCTGTACCATTTGAGTGCATGGTGCTTGTGGCCTTGACTTACAGTAGTCAGACTTATATATATTCTGTTGTCTCTGGCAGCCAAACCACTGACTCATGACACTGCCTCTGTCCATGTGTATGTGGACAAGATGAATGGTTGTATATGCCACTATACAAAGAGGTAATGGAAAATAGCAATGCTTTTAATGTCTGTAAAAAGAGATCTATCTATCTGGGTGACAGTAACTCTGCTGGGAGCGTTTGTGCACTCATCTGAAGGTTGGTGGTTCGAATCCCACTCTTGACTCTCTGTAAAGCGGTCAGAACCATTGACCAACAGGCTGCAGGTGCAATTCCAGATCTCACAGATGTATACTGTTGTTGTGTTTCCTTGGGCAAGACATTTAACCCACCTCGCCCCATTGTCTGCATACACTGGTGTATGAATGTGTGTGTGAATGGGTGAGTGGTTCCTTAATGTAAACAGCTTTGCCTTCAAGGTGGAAAAACATGATATAAAAATGTGACCATTGAACATGGCCATAAATCAGTTTGTTTTTCCCTTTGCATATGCATAGTTTCTTCTGCCTTTTGCCACAGTCTGCATAAACAACACAACATAATAACAAAATTAAAGCCCCCTGATTCTAATTTCTCTATGGACACTCTCAGAAAAGTTGATACATTTTTTTTATCAAATTGACAAAATTTAGACTTGTCACATTTTGAATGTACATTTCCAAAAGCTGCCGTATTTATGCTCCAATGTATTCATAGCAAGCTTGTGAATGTTCCCATCTCTGAGCAGTAAGCAGAAGTTGACTTGTCACTATAAATATATTGCATAAAAGATGTATAAGAGCATTTGTATAAACAGAACACAGTGATAACCTGACACAAGGCAAACACATGGTGAACATAATGTACAGACAGGTTCACAGACTTTTTTACGCACTTCATAATGATAGATAATATTGTTACAAAGCTTCCTCGGTGCAGTTGGAAGGCTGTGTCTGGACAACTTCTCCAGGGGCAGATGTCAAAGAATGTTATTATCACTGTGTACCCAAGTCAAACATGATTTACAACATGTGAGTGTTCATATGCGCTATGCAACACTGTGGTAGCAAAAGGCTTAAATGTTGAATGCAGGTTGTAAAGCCACCCTGTACTATGTCCTTTCCTAACCCTACTGATGGAAAATGCCCACTGGTCCCTTGTGATGGGATGAGTAAAACATCAGATTTATTTTCTGATTGCACTTGACTGATTGCACTGAGCCCTGTTGTGTAACTCAAACGATTTGTGCTGTAGAGTACCAACTAAAAAGAGGAAGCTCATAAATGGGATCCATCAAACTGGACTACATTGGTTTATAATGTAAGGTTCTGTTATTATAAATCACATTTACTGAAATGAATCCCTGCAGGCATCATGTCATCATGCACTGCACAAGTCTGAGCAAAAGGACAGAAGATAGTGATAATTCAGATTCTATTTATTTGACATTTCATATAGCCTATGCATATGCAAACGTTCAAACACAAGAGGAAATTTATGTCTTGAAGCGTCTATGCTGTTTAGAATAACTTTAGGTAAAACATATGCCTATAGCATAATATCCTGTTGGCCTGCTTAGTGTTTGAAAGGACCAGGACACATTAATTTAAACATTGCTCCCATCCAATGTGAAACTGACTCATCCAGAAACACGGAGAGGAGCTGAAGCGTGACGGAGCGTCCACCGGAGCGGCACAAAGAAGGGCCAGCGTCCAGTGGGAGGGGAGAGGACAGGAGAGCGCGAGGGAGATTATTGACTGCGTGTGTGAAACCCCACAGGTTCTTGATGGTTCTGTGCTTGACACATGAGCTGAAATGTCAGGGAAAAGTTTGCTCGACAAAACTTCAAAAAAAGTTGCCATGAGACACGTTTTAAGCATTATAATGCAGGAGGGATCTGGTTACAGTGTGAAAGTGTTTATTCTTTGAATGGTCAATGCTTGATAAGATAGCCATGGCCTTGGAGGCGGACAGCGACAGAGGTTCTTCAAAAAGCGCACATGAAAAATATCCGCGAGCAGCGCTGGAGCGCAATGTCTACGTGAAGACCTGTGTCACCCCGTTACACCAGGACGCACGCGGTCAGTCGAGGCTCAGACTCGCCGTGACATGGACTTGCTGGGGAGTGTCGTCTGCGCTCTGCGTTGCCTCTGTCTCCGCTCTTCTCGCTCTGCTGCTCACATTGGTCGACTGGGATGCAGACAACAGCAGCAACGGAAATAGCAGCGGCTCCAACTCTCGTGCTCATTTGGCGGCGGGCTGTGCAGTGGAGGTGCTTGTGACTGCGTGGTATCTGCTCTCCCCTGTTTTTACTCTCGTATGTGCCTTCTTTTGGGTCGGACTGTATCTCCTTCGCTGCGGGGTTCTAGTCCGTACCGCCCTGTTCCTCCTCGCAGTGTGTCACTTGGGCGAAGCCACAGCACAGTCACTGCTGCGCGGTGCAGAGGAGCAGCTGTTGTCCCTCCCCGCCACCCTGGTGGTCCTCGGCTGCCTGGGCAGCGGGGCTCTGCTGGTCGTACGCCTGGGACAGGGAGTGTCCCTCCTTGTCTTCATCAGCGTCATCCGGGCCGTGTCCCTGGTGTCTCTGAGCAGGGTGCGGGCCAGCTGGAGACCCTACCTGGCCTATCTGCTGGGGCTGCTGGGGGTTCTGCTTGCGCGGTATGCTGACCGGCTCTTGCCGGCCTCAGGGACCAGCGGGACGGGGTGCTGTGGCTCTGTGACCGAGGCGAAGGAGGAGGACATCCCTGTCTTCAAACGGAGACGGAGGTCCAGCTCCATAGCGGCCTCGGAGATGATCGCTCACAGCCAGAGCAACAGCAAGTCCCACCGCAGGACTTCGCTGCCATGCATTCCACGGGACCAGGTAAGACGCGGGACATTTGCGCTGCTCTCTTTTGTCCTTGTGCTTCACATTCACCACACTGTGGTCTCTCTGCTTATGTGATGGCATTTAGCAGCTCTTTTCTCTCGTCACAATGGATCACCATGGATTACCGTTCGTAACAAGCTTTATTATGGTTTCAACCATTTTAAGTAGGCCAGCGGTGCAAGCCGTATCGAGCTGAACAGTGTTGGATATAGTTTCGATCATATTTGACTTTCAAGCTCTAGAGTGCTGTTTATTTGGTCATCAGCATCTCTGGCTGTCCTCGTGCTGCTGATAAGAGAATGATGCACTTAGCATGCCGAGGTGCTCTGTGCGCGAGAGGACGTACGGGGGGTCACTGTATGTTTGGAAAGCCTCCGCTGTCCCGCGCGTTCTTTGCTCAGACAGCTTTGGGACGGAGCTCACACAACATGTTATTCAAAACTTCACTGAATTTTAGGAACCTTCTCATTTATATTAGAATTCATACATCAACGGGCCTGCTGCTTTTATAGGTAACTCAGTCCCACGTGTGTGAAATAGTTCTGCTGTAGGCCTATTAGAGTTTTAAATAGGCTACAGAAAATCACAGATAATTATTAGCTACCGAATTCTTACTTCTTCGATAGACATAGACGTGAGAATTTAAATTAGATAAACTCTCATGTATAAAACAAGTCAACTGGAGATGAAATAATGAATGATTTTAGCAGAGAACCAGCTGGTTTGTGCCCTCTAGTGACAAAAAGATAAAATAAATTACTGATGACATTGCAACTTGCGGTGGTAACATTAGACTAAAACAGGCAGTGCCTTCCCCTAGTTCATTTAGGTTAGTTACACATTTTTAGAGAATAATACAAAGTACACTAACTGAAACACTGAATGACAGATGTTATCATCATTTATCTGATAGCAAGTGTATTATAGCCTTGTGAATCTTAATGGTGCAAGAAGCTGAATAAATTGGCAACCAACTTCCAATCTGACATAGCCTACTGGTTATGCTGAATGTTTTATATAGTAAAAGTTTTTCTTTGATCAGGTTGATCTTATACATAACACTTATAAACTTAATCACATGCTCAACATCAACATAGAAATGAGGAAAGATGCATCTATTTCAGAGAGTTCCAAGCATTTTGTCACAATGTCACTAAACTTACACAATGTTTATTCCATAGAAAATATGAAGTAGAAACATTCACCTATTTTAAGTTATATCTACTTTTTCTCAATTGAATGATATTCATTTTTAGTCAGGCAACCCTTGTATAATATTATTTTGAAGTAACTGATTGATTGCATACATTACATTACATTACATTACAGTATTTATATATACTACTGTGTGGAGATATCATTCTTTTCAGCCCCAGTGGAGCGATGTGAGAGGGAGAAGGCCTTTGCTGCATTTTGGGTCACACTCAATTCTTTACAGCCATAAATAGCACAGGAAAGCAACAATATTTCAAAGTGTAGTTGTAGCATGTCAGCACTTGAACTTGCACAAATGCAGTAGTTCAGATACCCAGACTCTCACAGTAGTCACATTTATATGAATTTATAACACCATCATCATAAAGGTCCTAAATTGAAATTATTATTATTATTTTGTGAGCTGTTAGCAGTAGTTAACAACTACCTTTTACCTTTTGCTCAGTAGAGATTGGAAATTGTTTTCTGTTTGAGAGAAGAAATCAGCCTAAGAACTCAGCCTAAATATGCAGGATTTGTCTGTTAAACATGTGTGATGAAATAACATTATAACATAGATAAAAAATAGCATAATATGGGCCCTTTAATTAGATAAAATAATGCATGAACCATGACTTTATTCATAATGAACAAATAGTTTATTAAGAATGATTCAATTATTCTTAATATATTTGTTAATCATAAATTAAATCTGTATTTTATTAAGGCTAGTTAAGGTGTAGGTATCATTACAATAAAATAAATGTTATCCATATATATAAAGGCATTTGTATAACATGGAGATTCTGTGTCAGGGAGCAGGGCACCATCCTAAAGGAGAGATAAGTTCTGATCTATTTGAGGGAAGGAAGGCCCATATTCTCTCATTGACGCACATGCATTTCCGTTGAGACACTCGCAACCTGTTCTAGTCGCCTCAGCTATCTCACACACATGCTGGTGAAGCTTATTATAACCTTCAAAAGATAAGTGCCTGGATTGTTTAATATGCAGCCCACATTCTAGTAAAGGCCTTTGCCACTTCTCTACTATAACAGAGAGGTACTAGTCAGTAATAGAAGAAATGAGTTGTATGGCCTGAGTAATATGTGATAATAGTTTGTTTAGTATTTTAAAAATGCACTGTGTAACTTTTCTGTATGGGCTCTCACTTGTCTGTCACAGTGGTGATGTTATGCCACACTTAAATATCAATCCCTATGGAGTCAAACAGGTGATGCTACTGGGCTGAATTTGTGGAGAGGCAAGAATGTTGACAGTAAGAATTCAAGTATATTTTGCAGTAAAAACATCTATAATAATAAATAAAAAAAGCAAATCCTCCTACCAAAGCTACATACTGTAGCTTTAATGGTATGAACTTTTACTCAAATACATTTCTTCCACCACTGGTTTTAATTGTATGGCACAGAAAAGATCTAGAAACAAGCTGATGAAAGTTTATATAATATTTAATCTGGAGTACACTTGGGTGATCAGGCTGTTTACATTAGAGAGGCCTCTGCAGACAGCTCAGTGGAAACACAAGACTCTTCATAATGTTGTATACAAACCCCGCTGCACTTGGCCAGCCTAACCCCAGTCACTGCAGTGATGTAGGTCTATAGCCTGTCCCATACCTTTACCACCATTTTTCACTTTCAATGAAAAGATTACAAAAATATAAAAACCTGGATGCTACTGGCTTGCTGCTGGTCCTCCAATGACTGCATGGAGGTGTGTCCACTCCCCACGTGCCTATCACCTCCAGTGACCCCCTAAAACCCCTAAAACCCTGTACTTGCTATGTGGAAACAAGGTTCAGTTGTCATAAACATGCCTGAAGACAATTTATATGTCATCCATGCATGTTTGAGTAATTTAGCAATCTCTCGCAGGCTCTATTTGAACTCTCCTGATGGTTAACAGTACGGCCGGTTCTGTCCAATACTCAGTCCATAAGCTTATGCCACTATTGCTCCCGAACAACAATTTTTGATAGATATACAAAAGCAGGATGCAAAACAATACAGTACACCTTCACAAACCTGTGATGTGCAGCAGTTTTATTAGCAGAAGTGTGAGTGTGAGGGAGAACAATGGGAGGGGGGACTCAGAGGGTTAAAAAACTCATGTTAATACTTTGTTTTTTGGCCAATACAGTATTTTCAAAACAATAAAGGGTAACATGGTGATGTAAATATATTAATACCCCATAGAAGTGTAATATCCCCTCTTTAAACAACATTTCAGTGCTCTCTTAAACTTTAATGCTCCGGCCAGGATTTTAAAATGTTGCTTTTTACTATGGACTTTGTGATAATGTTCAGTCATTCACAATTTTAATTAGAATTGAAAAATTTGTCAGAAAAAATGCAACAGAAAGCAGAGTGCATTTATATAATTAGGCTGTAGTGTTCTGTGTTGTCATATCAAATACCACATTTGCCACCCAAAACTGTGCTCAGCGGGCATAGACAAACCCCAAAAATATTTCTGAATGGGTTTTCTCATTGACAGAAATATCAAAGCTTAGACAGGCAGGGATGGGCTACGGCCAGTCACAATAGACGATCAAACATCCATTAGGACTGAATGTGAGAGACTGGGTGAAAACAAAAGCTGGAGCAATAGCTTTGTGAGTGTGAGGCAGAAGGGTGAGAGATAGAGAGAGAGAAGGGAGGATAGAGAGGGGAGGGGGGTACAGTCTGCTGCCAAGTACTGCACAAGTGTTGATGGTGAGAGGACAACTATCTGCTCTGCTGTCTCTCATCACACACTAGCCTGGCTCAGATCACATGGTTTATAGAAGCAACACAATCACACAGTTTGGAGGTGATTTTGTACGGTTTAAGTCAGTCATATTAACAAACTGATGAACTAAATTAAATGCACATATGACAAAACACTTCAACACTACAACTTTTCTTGGTTTAGTCCTGTTTTGACCAATGAGCATGAAGTACACTTAACTTAAAGGTGTAACTTTTCTGGTGGAGGGTCCTTCAACTGCTTTTTTTCGTGGAGATGTTATTGCTGGGTCTAGAATGTTTCACAGTATGATATTAAACCTTTCTATCTTCATGGAAACCAATTCAGACCAAGTTACAGGTCAGATTTGTGGAGAGGTGATCCTACTCACAGTCAGAATACCTGCTTTTCTAGATATTTTTGAGCTATTAAACAACTTGTAATTGAATAAATGTAAGGTAGAGATGTTTAATGTCATACTGTGGAACATTCAAAGCAGAGCAATGACATATCCATGGCAACAAGCAAGTGATGGACTCCCAATCAAAAAGTTACACGGTGCACGTGTAACATGTTTTCTTATAAATTGCTTTACAGTACTAAATGACGAAAGTTATGACTCTACCTTGTTCTTAGTTCTCACAAACCCTTAAGCACAACTCTAGTGTTCACAGTTCACATGCAATAGTTCCATTTATAAGGTCAACACATTTTTTTGTGAATACCATGCTCTTCCATATACTTTTTTCACAACCAATCACGTGTACAATGTACAATAGTCATTTCTTTCTTGTTCACAAAGTGCTGTTTTTCAAAATTCTCTATGCTGGTAAAATTACTGTTTTAAAAATGTTGAGTACCTTAATAGTTGTAACTTATTAGCAAGTTCATCTACCAGGTTAAAAGCCATCAAATAAAAGCTACACATAAAACTATTTTATGAGACATATAGAAGAGGGGAGCAAGGAGACAAGAGCCAGCCCAAAAGTGTGTGCTCTAAGGAAAGCATCCACAGAGAGGCTGGAGCTGCAGTAATTTTAACCTGGCCT